GTGTGGAAGCACAGCTGGGCTACTGGTCATAAGACAGTCCTATGTTAGCTGTGTTTTCTGTAATTTGTGAAAGAGCACATGCCACGTGAGAGCGAGCGAAGCGGCCTCCCCGGGCTGTCACGCTGCTGTCACCTGTGCCGGGTCCTGGCCCTGAAGGCACATCCCTGGCATAATTTCGGCCCACTGGGTCCAGGGCTCAAGCCCCTGTCAGCGCGTGGCCTCAGTTCCACATCCCAGCGCACTGCTAGCTGTGTTTTCTGTAATTTGTGAAAGAGCACATGCCACGTGAGAGCGAGCGAAGCGGCCTCCCCGGGCTGTCACGCTGCTGTCACCTGTGCCGGGTCCTGGCCCTGAAGGCACATCCCTGGCATAATTTCGGCCCACTGGGTCCAGGGCTCAAGCCCCTGTCAGCGCGTGGCCTCAGTTCCACATCCCAGCGCACTGCAGCCGGCTGTGGAGGCGGGGCGGCGGAGGCCTCTCTAAGGAGCTGCCACGCTGTTCTCCCAGTGGCTGTGCGACTCCCAGCCCCTCGCCTCAGAGGCCCACTTTCTGCACAGCCTGGCCAGCACTTCTGCTTCATAGGGAGAGGTTTGCTATGGGGCACGTGCACTTGTTGGAGAGCCTCAGAGAAAGTGAGAAATTCTCGACATTGATGACTTCTTCATAAATTTCTCAGTCACACGCATCCTTTTCTGTAAAGTTCATATTCATTTATCTTTTACTTATTTTTTCTATTGAGTGTATTTTTCTTTATTATTTGTAGACGTTCTTTATATATTTGGGACACTCCGATCACCGCTTTTTAAACCCTCTGTTTAAGAATTCGCCTACTGAGCCAGAACTCTCTCTCACTGCTGCAATTTGTTGTTTATGTGCTAACACAGAGGCGATCCCCTCAGCTCGACTACTGGAACTGAGCTGGGCCCCCTGCTACGTTCACACAGCGTCCAGGAAAGGGACAGTGCCCAGGTGCTCAGCAAAGTGTCACTCCTTGTGATCTCTGTCCCCCGCCTTGTGGATGAGGTCGTACTTGAATCCTATTGCTTCCTTGCTGCAGTTGCGTAAGAGCAGTCCCAACCCTTTTGCACCAGGAATCATGTCATGGGAGACAATTTTTCCACAAACTGGGGGCCAAAGGGGATGGTTTCCGGATGATTCAAGTGTGTTCCATTTATTGTGCACTTTAATTTTATTATTATTACATGTAACAATAAAGACCAATAGCAATCCACGGCGGAGGTTGGAGAATCCCAACGTATACGATGTATACGCATACAGCTAGTACACTTGCTGGTAAAAGCAAACCAAAACGTGTGGAGACTTGCCATTTAAAAAAAAAAAATGCCAGACCAGCAGTTGGCATAATGGCTATGTCACTGGATTCCCATGTAGTCGACCACAGTTTAAACTCACACCGGGCGTGTGTGCGTGCGTGCCCAAGATCCCAAGAGGAGAATGGAGGAGAAGGGATTGTGGCATGGCCATTCCCCCTGGGGGTGGTGTCTCACTTTCTCTTTTTGGTGAGCACAGTGCCCTATACCAAATGAAAAATAATAATAATAAATGAAAATAAGGGAATAAATAGACTTATGATGAAAAAAAAAAAAAGTATGATAATCCAAACACTAATCTACCAGTATTGATCTCTCTTTTTAAAATTATTTATTTAATTTTATCCATTATTATTATTAAATTTGCTATAGAGCACGTGCATATGTGCATTCACCAAAAAGAGACAGAGAGAGGTAAAGTAAGACAGCAAGCCGCTTGGGCTGGCAAGCAGCATGGTGATTAAGGGTGTTGTGCTCCCACACGGCCAACTGCAGTTCGAATCCCAGACCTGGAGGTTTGCTTTTTCACTTTCCCTCACTCTCTCACTCCATCCCTCTCTGGTCAAATTAAAATAAATAAATAGAGTTAAATAAAATAATTTAAAAAGAAGGAAAGCTGCCAGGTCTGGGACTGGAACCACAGTCCGTCATGTGGAAGTCCAACATACCACACCACCTGCCAACCCCTGTATTCTGCTATTTCCATTAATTTTTTTACTTTAAATAGAGTGAATTAAAATGCTAGCAACACCAGGAAAAATGTTGTTTGGGATAACGGATATGTGAGCACCATTTGTCTGACCCCGGATTCTCAGGCTTAGCGCTCACTGAAGAGTTACAGGCTAAGCTAGACAACAGAGAGAAGGACCCAAATCTGTCCTCCTGCCTCGCTGAGCACTGCCAGGGAAGGCATTTATTTATTTGTGTTCTGTTTCAATTTGTGTGTGACTCAACCAAGAGGTAGAGTCATTCATTAGTGTTAGTTTAGCTTTCTCCTAAAGATCCAGTAATAGAGAAATTTATTTTAATCACCTATTCATCAAAATGAAGTTCTGATTGAGCAACACTACGGAAACACACAGAGAAACATTTTTTGAGATGACATGAAAGATTATATGTACACAGCCCTCCAGAGGTTGATACTCTGTTAGGAAAGGAAGTAGAATTACGAACTGATCGTTTGACCCCCTCCAACTCCGCGAAGGCAAGTTACTCCTCGCCTAATGAGGGAGGCCGGGTGCTGGTGGTCGAGGCCCAGGTGGAGAGGTGCACAGGGTACTGTGAAAGCATGAGTAAGAGTCGGGGCAGCTTCCTGGAGGAAGAGGCGCTGAGCTGAGAAATACAAGAAACGATGACCTGCTCCCGCTGGACGGAAGGCAGTCCAGGACGTGCAGACAGCATGTGGGCGAGCCTGGAGCAGAGATGATGAGAGCAGAGGAGGGGCAGAGGCAGCGTTAGGGCCCCTTCGTCCCCCGCTTGAGGAGCTGCCCAATGCCCCGATATTGGTAAGAGACGCTCCATTATAAAGACGTGGGAGGAGGTCTGGGCTTTACCTCCAGGGCAGTGAGATGCCACAGAGAGATTTTAGAAAGGACAGTAGCAAGATCAGTTTTCTCTGGAAAGATCTCTCTGGCTTTACATGGAGGACGAAATAGCAAGAGGAAGGTGGAAGGACGGCGAGAGGACAGTCGGGTAGAGATGGTGACGCACCAGGGAGTGGAGAGAAGGCAGAGTAGGACCCAGTAAAGTGACGGAGGGAGAGGTGTCCCCAGGGAACAAGGTATCAAGGAGAAGTCCAAATTCGTCACTGAAATAAACACGAGGGAACTTCGGCTGCCTCCACCAGGGTCACCCCAGCAGCTTCCAGCCACCGAGGTCCCAAGCCTGGGCCCCAGCTGCTTTCCCCGCTCAGTGGCAGGTGACCTGCAGTCTCCCTGCAGGGCTGAAGCTGGCCCAACCCTCCACTCCTCTCGCCTTCTAGCCAGAATGCTCCAGCTGCAGAGACCCTGGCCTCCTGGCTCAGGAGGTGCGGGCTCTCAAATACTCCCTCCCGCCTCTTGCACCCTCTGGCAGCACGGGCAGGACATACTTCAACTAGCGGGTCAGAGGAGCAAACCTCCTTTACACACACTCTCAATTCAAAGAGAAGAAACGCTCAACAACTTTCGGAGCTGAGTGGCTCATACAATTTTATTTCTTTTATTTTGAGAATTTTTGCTACAGGGTGTGTGTGCTCACCGGAGACACAAAGACAGAGAGAGAAAGTGAGAACCACCTCCCCAGGGGGGACGGCCACCCCTCAATCCCTTCTCCTCCATTCTCCTCGAGGGATTTTGCGTCTGCGTGCACACACACCAGACATGAGTTTCAAGCTGCCTGGTTCAGGACCTGAGCTGCGCTTGACCATGTGAGCGTCCAGCGTCTTAACCACTACACCCCTGCTGGCCCTAACTCAATTTTAAGGGCATTCCCATATAGATGAGAGATCAAATATTTACATATTCTCTACCACATCATATTATTTTCATATAAAACTCCAATTTTATACAATGAAAATTCATAGACAGGACCACCATGTTCGAATCCATTGACTCACAGCTAAAAACTATTGGGGGAAAAAAACTTACCGCAGGGGCCTGGGTAGCTCATCAAACCCACAGGCTAAAAGGACCCAGCACACAGCATGCACACTGCATTAGGAGAGGCCACAGCGCAAGGCCGTCGAGGGCCAGGAGGATGGAAGCCCGGGGCTCCTGAACTCCCACCGGCCATGGCACTGCACAGAGGAAGAGCCGAGGCCTCCGTGTGTTTGGACGGTGAAGGATGTAGGGACGGAGGCCAAGAAGCTTGCTCCGAAATCGCAGCTAGTGACAGTGGGTCCCTGAAGGCTCATGTGTGTACGGCCTGCCTTCAATCCGGGGCCCGGAACAGGAAGCCAAAAGCATGAGGAGGAAGGAGGCTCACCTGTTTTGGGAAGAGGGTAACTGATATTTAATAAGTCCTCCAGAAAAGAGAAGATGGGACCTGCGGCGTTCAAAGCATAGTCTGCATCTCCATTTGCAATGGCATCTTTCCGGGCCCAGATGCGTATCTACATTGAGACAAAGAAGCTGTGGTTAGGAAAAGCAACAGCGATTTGGAACGTGGCAACCTGCTTGCTTCAACTTCGAGTTACTCTAAGGCCTTACTTTTTCAGAAGAAACTTGACAGAACGTTTAAATGTGTATGTGTGCTGAGAAAACCCCAGAAGGTTCATCGGGTTCTGAAAAATTATTCCCCCATAAAGCGAGTTATTTCAGTCTTTTATTTTTTTTTTTTTCTCAAGAATCACTCTCGGGATCTTGGGCATGCACGCACACGCGCCCGGCGTGAGTTTTAAGCCACCGGGTCCGGGACACGAACCGCGGTCGACTACGTGGGAATCCAGCGACATAGCCATTACGCTAACTGCTGGTTCCCTCAGTCTTTGAAATAACACGGGTAACTCTATACTTATAAACAGTCCTTGGAACTGCCCACACCATGCTCTAATTTCACAAAAATGCAATGTAGACTCCGTATAAAAGGACCCGGCTTTCCTTGTCAGGACTTATTTCTAGTGATCTAATGTAGAATTGCGCTGTTGGAGGGGACGTTAGACAGGACGGTACGTGTCAAACAAATTCGAACTACGCAAATTATAAATAGGGGACCAGCAGTTGCCATAATGGCCATGCCGCTGGACTCCCATGTAGCCAACCACGGTTCGAGTCCCGGACCCGGTGGCTTAAACTCACAACAGGTGCTTGTGCCTGCGTCTCATGCCAGACGCATGTGCGTGCTTACCCAAGATCCCGAGAGGAGAATGGAGGAGAAAGGATTGCGGTGTGGCCATCCCCCCCCGGGGGGTGATTTCTCGCTTTCTGTCTCTTTCTGTCTCTGTCTTTCTGACGAGCACACATGCCCTATAGCAAAAACCCCTCAAAAAAAAATTACAAATGTCTCAAGGGACCAGCAGATGGCTTAATGGTTATGTCACTGGACTCTCAGGTAGTAGACAGCGGTCACACAGCAACCTCTTTCCCCCATTCTCCTCCAGGGATTTTGGGCACACACAAACATGTACCTGGTGTGATTTTCAAGCTGCCAGGTCTGGGACTCAAACCACAGTCTGCCATGTGGGAGTCCAGTTCCTTAACCGCTGTGCCACCTGCTGGCTCCAAGTCTTATGATTTTAAAGAAAGTGAATTACATTCTTTTTTTATTCTATTGCCAAATGAAACTCCTACTTTGGCAGGTAAGTGGAAACCCCTGCCATGTTTTGTCAGTTTTATGGAACTATACTGTTGTTTGGGCACTTGGAATTTACTGGAGTGGTTTTAATCACTAAACTGCACTTGCTTGAACATCCATTGTTTTTGCACTATAAAAACAGTTTTTACACTATACCAGTACCAACTGGATGAGTTTTAATAGAGTTACCAACATCAATGCTAAAGAATGTGCACAAACTCAAAAACCTTGGGATGAAAAGTAGAGGATAAAGGGTTAAATGCGTGTCCTGATTCGAGTTCAATTAATTTGAGAAAGAGCTGTCTGCAAAATATTGGAGAAAATGCTAAGAAAAAGAACGCAACACAGTATTTGCAGATCTGTACACTCTACGAATGCATGCGCCTTCCCCTGCTTTTATTTCTGCTGGGAAATTTGTCTTGAATTATGTGCGTCTGAATGACATCAGTGTTCAAGAACACTCCCCTTCCGCAGACTCCAACCACCTGTTAGAGGCTCCTGCCCAGTCCCTTCATTAGCGGTCCTGGGCTTCCTTCCTGCTGCAGAGCCCTCGCCAGGCTGGGAAAGACGGTCCCAGGTCACTGGAGGCCTGGCCTGACCTACGCCTTCTGCCCCCTTCTCCAGTTCCAGCATCTGAGGTGACAGAGGCCTACTCAACCGAAGCCTCACTAAGTAGGAATAACACTTATCACTCATCACTGTTAAGACAATGGAAACACTTTAACTGTAACCCTTTGTAAAATAACAGAAATGGCAGCGGATATTTATACGTTAATTTTCCATGTAAGGCTCCTTTCATAAATAACCATTCTGTACGCCAAAAATGAAACAAATGATGGTGACTTCAAGCTGGGCAGAAAGGAGGATGGCCCCGGGCAGAGCAGCAAGAACATAGATGAACGATTTGGAGAAGTAGCTTCAAGTTCTTTTGTTTTTTTTTTTGGAGAGGTTTTTCGCTATAGGGCGCGTGCGCTCGCCAGATAGACAGAGAGACAGAAAGCGAGAAATCACCCCCCGGGGGGATGGTCACGCCACAATCCCTTCTCCTCCATTCTCCTCTCGGGATCTTGGGCACGCACACACACGCGCCCGGCGTGAGTTTTAAGCCACTGGGTCCAGGACGCAAACCGCGGTCGACTACGTGGGAGTCCAGCAACATAGCCATTACGCTAACTGCTGGTTCCCGCTTCAAGTTCTTCAGAATCGGGCCAGCAGTGGTGTGGCGGTAAAAGTGCTAGACTCACATGGCCAACTCCTGGTTGAGTCCCAGACCCTGCCACCTGAGAAACAGTGGGCAGGTGCGTGTGCATGCCTGAAACCCAGATAGAAAGATGGAGGAGAAGGGATTTTGGCATGGCCATTCCCTCTGGGAGGACAATATCTCACTTTCTCTCTTTGTCTCTCTCCAGTGAGTGCACTTACCCGATAGCAAAAAATCTTAAAAATAGAAAGTGTCTTCAGAACCATGCCTGGCCCACCAGTGTGTTCCAGGGCCCTCCTGAGTCAACAGATTTTGACATCAAAAAGAGTATCTTCGCAGACAAGCATGCGTGTTAGCTTCGCTCAACGTCTGTCGTTCTCATCCCTCCCACCTTACCCTCATGCTGCACAGTAACCGCACTGTCCACGTCGCAGTCCCTCTCTGGAGTATGGGCGGTTTCCATGTGGCTGTCCACACACTACTCAAGCACACCTCCTCGAGCCGTGGAGGGTAGAAGGTGGACTCCCACTTCGTACAGCTGAGCCCTGGCCAAATGCAACATTCCACTGATAATTCACCCCAGGCTAACTGCTCTGGCTTTCTTAGCACACTGCACTTCCTGTCTGCTTCCACCCCAGACGGCATTCTTTTCAGGGCGGTCTTTTGTGAGACTTAGTGACGGTGCAGCGGTGCCTACTGTCACAAGCCACTCAAGATGTGGATGCTGAGGGATCGCTGTGGGTCTCTACCAGCTACAGGAGCAACGGGTCCACACCACGTGCCAAGCTCAAAGCTCGTGACTCCAGATCGCACCTGAGCAGATGAGTCAGTACGTGAGGGTCTGACTGGCTGATGTCATATCTCTGAATGTCAAGGATTTACTTGTCACTTCTGTAGGGAATTCAGGCTGAGGCCGACAGTGCAGGAAGAAAGCAAGCTGCTAAGTCATTCGGTAAGGAGTGTAGGAGCAGCTCTGAGACCCGCTCAGACTCAGTATCACAAGTTCGCCATTAAGGTTAGGAGTGAGGGGCAGGAGCTTTGAGTGACTCTTCCTGTGATGACGGCCTGACTCCCACAGCTCCCTCGTCTCCGCGTCGAGGATGCAAGCCTGGACGATCCTGAGTCCTTGGGCATCTCAGCCAGGAGGGAGGCCTCAGCTCCCTGAAGCTGACGTGACTGCTGGGTCATCAGAGAAGGCACGATGCATTTTTGCATAGAAAAACACGTCACAACTTTCCCAACGCCCTAACAGAAAGAATGGGACCTGAAGCATCTACCTTCCCTACCTCCACACTATACGAGAGAAGAGCCAGTGTGTAAAACATAGCCACCACCATCTCAGTCCTTTCCTAAGGAGTTACCGTGTAATGAGGGCTACACAGCTCCAGGAAGTGCTGCATGCCCCGGGGTCGGCAGCTGGACAGGGATGACACTCAACCTGCCTGCACAAGAGCAGCCATCGCCGTTGGTCCTGCCTGTTGTCTCGTGACCGGTTGCTGCCTGGCTGCACTGCGCTAGACCTGTGAGTGCCACTCCAGCTTCAAGGCTGTATCAACACTGCAGGCTCAGCAAGCGACAGGTGTCACACCTGAGCCGAGGTGTCCAAGTGCTGCTGCAGCAGCCTCCCCGTTCTCTCCTCTTCTGTGCCAAGCCAGAAACCGGCTGCCTTGAGGAAGGAGCTTAATGTGCAGCTTTCCGTGGAAACCTCTCCAAAGGGCTGCAGAGGGGAGAGTGATCTGCCCTTCTTCAAAGTCATTCTAAGAGCTCTCCAGAAACCGGCTGCCTTGAGGAAGGAGCTTAATGTGCAGCTTTCCGTGGAAACCTCTCCAAAGGGCTGCTCAAAGAGCTCTAATGAGGCTCGGGAGACAGAGCCAAGAGGTGGCTGAGGGGACGCAGGAAAGTGGGTGAGCCATCTCCAACCAGCACACGTTCCTGCACCGCGGGGAGCTCTCCTTACTCACCTCCTTGCCTCTTTCTGTCCTGTTGACCTGGTCAAAGTCACAGAGAGCAAACGCAGCTAGGTAAGTTGGCATCCGCGGCGTGGTGTCAAAGGTCGTGGCAGTCCACTTGCTTCCGTTCACATCTTCTTTTACAGACTGGCCTAGAGAAATTTAACGCAGTCCAGATCACTGTAGGTCTAAGCAATATCTGCCTTTGAAATAACCTGTCAGGTTAGCTGTCACCTAGCTGTCCCAACCACTCCCCAGTCTACCTAGCAGTTCAGATTTCACTCCCTATCCCAAAGCGTTAGGAAGACCTCACACGGCATCTTGGGCTCAGTCAGCACGACCGAGGGCCAGGTCCACGATCTGTGTTCGACCACGATCTCCCTCCCTCTCTTCCATCCATTCTACTGTTCCCTAGTCTAGCTCTTAATTTCTCATGACACTTAATCTAGAGCCGCCCAGGCCCAGGGTAGGTCAACAAGGTGCAATTCTACCATTCCCAGGTTTAAAGCTGAAATCAAACTCAGATGCCTGTGAGGGCCAGGCAGCTGTGGACAGGGCTGGGGCCCATAAGAGAGTGGTGGGGACCACGGCGGGGGCTGTGGGTGCAGCCCAGTCTGCAGAGGCGGCCTCTTCTCTGCTGTAACTGGCTGTTGTCACAGAAGAGGTGCAGGTCCAAGGTTAGATCACTGGGGTTTTTAAGACATAAACATTTAAATTCTTACATAAACTATCTGGATTTTTAAAAATTTGGAAATGAATTCAATGGAAAGGAAAATGTCATATGAGCCAAATAAAACACATCTGTGCCCCAGATTCAGAGCAAGCCCACCCACTTGTTATCACTGACGATCGATAGCTGAAGGCCCAACTAACGGACGGGCACACAGCCAAGGCATAAAAGCAGTGTAACATCCCAGCGGCTGCCACCACAGAC